TGTTCTACACCAAGAGAAGCAACTAAAAGTCTCCGTAACTACAGCAAAAAAAAAAAAAAAAAATCTAATTTCTGCATACAAATGATACAAAGACAGTCTTGGTTTTGAACTTCCTAAAAGCCTTCACATCCATTGAAACTATGGTACAACTACAGCCGCAGGCAGGAAAGCTGCATATCTTTATTTGGGCAATTGCTTCCTCATTACAAAGGGAATAAAAAGAGCCATAACAAACATTCAAATGAAAAGTGGCTCCAGTAAATGCAGAATAGATAAGGACATTTTCCAATAAGTTTCAGTTGATGAGACTGTTCTGATTTCTCAGATAACTAAAACAGATCTGATATGAAAGTCTAAATAATCTGTAAAACCCACTTTTAAGTACAAAGAAATCTTAGTTTGAATTTCAAAATCAAATACACACAGTGGAAAGTGACAGAAGTATCCCACTGACCTATTTTCAAAATTTACTAGGACTGTCAGGAGACCTGGAGACCTGATTAACAAGTGGATCACAGCTCCTGCCCCCAGTTTTCCAAAGAATAGCTGTATAGGGTAACACAGACCCAAGTTGATGAGAAGCAACGGCTGTCCTAAAACCGCACCTCAAGAAGAACACTTATAGCCACATTAACATCTTCTAACCTTTACAAAGTTAGAAAATGAGGGCCACATCTTACCGAGCCCCGCTAACTTTATAAACTGCACTAATTTCACTGCCTTCCATCACTGAACTGCAAATTCATGTCTTCTTGTGTTTTCTGCAATACTCCACTTAACAGAGGACTACATGATAATGAAGCAACAATTATGGAACCCCAACCCTCTTCAAGGGAATTTCCTAACTCACAGTCCCTCCTCTCCACACCCTTCCTCCCAGGCCATTACCATCCTGACTTTTGTCCCAATTGTTTCCTTGCTTTTCTTTAAAGTTCAACCTATGGTAGTTTTCAAGTAACAGTTTTACTGAGATATAATTCACATGAAGTCCACACACTTCAGCAGTATTTTTTATACAGTCACAGAACTGTGCAACTATCACTACAGCACCTTCTAACCCACATGATTTGGTTGGGCTGGATTTCCCGGCTGCCCTTCCCTGGAACTGCAAAAGACTGAAAAGGAAACAGTGGAATTCAGCTACTTTCCAGGGCCAGCAGAGCTGGAAGTGGCAACAGATAGAAGAGATGGAAATAAACCAGCCACTGCTTCCCAAAGAAGTGGAGCTGCAGCGCTACCAGCCTCAGCCTGGTGCATGCCCTTCCATGGTTCTTCCCTTAGTCACTGGGCCTGCCCCCCAACCCCCAGCTCCCACCAGAGCTGGGCAACACACCATGAAATCAGCGGCTGCTCTTCACAGGCTTCTTCACCTGACTCCCGGTGTGGTCCCACTCCAGCAGTGTTCCTGTCTGGCCTCAGCAATCCTCTTGCGAGCTCTAACTTGGCCATGCGTGCTTGTGCTTCGGAAGTGGGTAGTTTAGTGACTTTTCTCTGACTCTACACTTCTCTTCTTCTGGACTGTTATTTCCAGCTTCCCCCACAGTTGCATAACACCTTGTTCCTGTAATAAATAGGTCCTTTATGCTACAACACTCCCAGTGAAGTCTGCTTCCCTCAAAGAGTAATGACTGACAGACACTACTTATATGTCCCTGAACAACAGCTTAGCATCAACTTTATCAATTCTAGAAAAAAAGAATTGGATACCACACATTTTGTAAAACTATTCCTTTTTTTTTTTTTATTACAGACATGTATCTGTGTGTATGCCCCTGACCAAGAAAAAGAACATTACCAATACTGAGGAAGCCCAACTACCACATCCTCCCCACTCTCCAAAGGTAGCTACTTATGATTCCAACACCATAAATTCATTCTGTCTGTTTTCAAATTTGCTTTAAACTTGTACACAGAATATAACAATATTTAATTTTAAGCATCTGGTTTCTTTCAACATTATGTCTGTGGATGTTAGTCATTTCTTGAATACAGCATTAGTTCATTCATTTTCATGGTTTTATAGTTTTACATTTTATGAACATATCACAATTCATCTTCCATTCTGTTGCTGATAAGCACTCAGGCTGCTCCTGTTTTAGAGAATTTTGAATAATGCTCCAGAGAGCATTCTTGCGCATGGACACATACACACACATTTCTGTGGGTAACATATGTAACAAGTAGAATTGCTAAGATGTGTGGCATGCTATCTTCTACTTTGATGGATAATTCTAGTTTCTCAGTGTGGTTAAACTAATGTGGATGACCACTGCTCTGCTCCTTGCCAACATCTGCTGTTGTCTTTTTTACTTTAGCCATCTGATGTACAATGGCCATCTTTCTGTGGTTTTACTTTACATTTCCTTGTTGACAAAAAAAGCTGAGCATCTTTCCCTGTGTTTACTGACCATCTGTGAAGTGCGTGCTCAAGTCTCTTGTTCACTTTTCAATTGGGTTGTCTATCTTAATATTGACATAGAAATTCTTAAAATATTCTGAATAGGCCTATGTTGGCCAGTCTCATTGTATGAGTTGACTTTTCATTCACTTACTGGTGTCTCTGGTAAACAGAAGAGCTTTTAATGTAATCCAGTGTATCAACCTTTTCCATTATAGTTAGTACTCTTCGTGTCTTATTATTTACTATACATATCAGCCCTGGGCAAGCGACCTCATGTTTCATAAGGAGTCTATTTGTGTTACACCTGTTAAGTCACTGAATCCTCCAAAACATCCTTAAAAACTGCAAATAATATTTTGGAAGCACAGCATAACTTAGGGGCATTCAAGAGGGGGATAGGCCGTCAGATCCAACATACACACTCAAACCTTGTACACCACGTTGTACAAGGTTTGAGTGTGTAAGAGTTGCCTTCCACCACCTGTACCTAAGAAGATCCATACATTCACAGCACTAACAGATACCCACATATATACAGGATGCATATATACATACATGACACCCAATTTATTCACATATGTGTAACATATCTAACCTACATTTCAAAAATTTTAAAAGTCAACTAAAGAGTCCATTGAATTACTGATACAACCTCAAGAAAACATGAAATGATACAGATCTCTCAGCCATTAAGACTGCTATTCGTTTACAGAAAATCAAAATTAGATAATTTAGTGGCACCAAAAAAACTAATATGAAACAATCCAACAATAAGAAAATTATAAATTATTGAGTGGACTAGGTGGAAAACAACTATTTTGGAAAGTTAGAAAGCAAAGTGAGATTAACCATCATGACATACTTGTGAAATATTTGAAAAATCATGCTGAATTTCCTGTTATTGTGGGGTTAAGTCAATGTCAGAGAGAAGTACAAGTTTAGAGATGTACAATGAGGATGGTTAAAATTACTCGCATACAAATAAAATACCCTTCAAGGAAAAAATTATGAGGACATTAATAATCAATTCCTTCTCTGAGAATGCCCTACATCAGGTTTGGGTTAACCTCTCAGTCATTTTTCTGGATCATTCCCTGACAAAGTCAACAACATAAGTTTTCTAACAACTGAGATTCTCAGAAACTGCTTATCTTATAAAACTTAATGTCTTTCCATACTGGATGTCCACTTACCAGTAAAGCTCACTGCCACTATGTTTTAAGACTGACAGGAAGTGGACAGACATCTAAGAACTGTAAGGTATGAAATGAAAACAGTGGCTAATAAGTATGGGAAGAAAAGAGGGGAAAACCTCTGTGAGTTAGACACTTCATTGTATTAACCTAAAATATTCAGAAAGGAAAAACGAATAAAGGTGGCTAGAGAAAAACAGAAATGGGTAACCTTTGCCTTTATGAATACCAAGCTTTGAATGTCACACACAGCTTAAATTTTAACCCAAACTCAGAAGTGTCCACTGATTCAGATGTTATGGCCACTTGTGTATTACTGATACTCCCCTCCAGATTTCCTTTTGCTTATTTTTAATCACAATTTGTTTAATTACAATGAAGAATTCTAAAAGTAGTCAACAGAAGATTAAAGTGATGGTTCTCAACCCGGCTGTACTTCAGAATCTCCTGGGGAGTTTTCAGAAGTCCCACCCCTGGGGCTGGGACTGGGGCTGGGGTTCAATGGGAGAGCATTTGCCTTGCATGCCCAAGGCCCTGAATTCAATCCCCAGTACCACCAAAAGAAAGAAAGAAAGAAACACATCTAGGCTCCACCCCAAGGACTCCAAATGACTTCGACTAGGTTGGTCTGAGTGATTGATTCTAACATGTAGCCATGGTTGAGAACCAACAACACAAAGAGAGCGAGCACCAAACCAGGAGCAAGAGGGGTTGGCCTTTTCAAGCTCCACAGGGAGTTTTTAACATTCTGTATAGTACACTCACTACTCAACACCAGTTGTTGTTGAATAAAACATTTACGTGGCCAGCACCTACCCCTCTAGAGCATGCTGCTCCAGGGAAGGAATGGCTCTGCACTAACTTGGGTCTTCTGCCTGCCTGGGTATGGTCTCCTCAGCTACAATTTTGCAAGCCTTGCTTCCTACTACTCAAGGTTCCAAGCACTCACCAGGGAGTCTGCCATCAAGAGAAAGTGAGAAATCCAGGCAGGCAGCTTGGCCCTACTAACTGGCTTCAACCAGAGCATCTCCACTTCTGTTTTATACATTTTTGGTTCCCCATAACACTGTTTGAAAAAAAAATGGTTCAACTACTATTAAAAGCTTTTTTAACTGCCAGATTTTCCTTTCCAAAAAACACTAATATTGAACTGAGAGACATGTGGTGGAGACTGCATGCTCCTGTCTCATTCATCTGTTTCTAACCCCAGAACTTCACCAGCATTTTGTGTTGGAATGTGAAGTCTGCTAAAGGAAAAGAAGGAGAAAAAAACCTGAGAAAGGAAAAAAAAGTTGATTTCTCCCTTGTTAAAACTGACCACTCAGAAAACTTCTGATACCATGTCAAAAGATGCAAATTTAAGAGGGCGGTTCATCTCCTGCATGTGATGCATGGCTGGGACATACCTGAATGCCAGGCCTTTCTCACAGCTTCCATCTCACACCTGCATGGTTCACCACTGCTCCTCCTGCTCTAGGTGGGCTTAGCAACCCATTCTCTACCTACCTTCTGCATCCAGAATGACCTCAGCTAGTCTGTGGCTTTAAAAGCCCTCTACACACAGATGACCCTTCAATCTTTATCTCTAAGCAGGACCTTCTCCCAGGCTTCTAGACAGGTGCCTATTTGACATCACCTCTCTGGTGTCAAACAGACACCTCATAATACATTCAGAAGAACTCTCCTGACATTCCACCCCATCCTCTCTTCAATAATGAACACCAGCCCCAATGCAGGAGCTGAGGCCCCAATGCAGGAGCTGAGGCCCCAAGGATTTCTCAAAAAATCCTTTCCCTTACACCCAAGCCCAGGGGTCTTGACAGCTCCACAAAATATATCCACTCTGCTCCCTCTCCACTGCCACCACCATCTCTTACCATGATCACAATGAGTGCAACAGTCTCCTAGTTGATCCCTCTCTACCTCCCCTGACAGCCAAGGAGCAGTCAGAGAAAACAATTCCACATTACACCACTCGCATCCTGCTAGCTCATGATCCAATGACTTCCCAATTGCCCTTAAGACTAAATCCCAGAGCCTGCTCCCCAGGTCCACCCCACCCTGCTTGCCCCACTCTGTTCCAACCCTGTTTCTTCTAGGGTCCTCACACCAAGCACATTCCTGCATCAGAGGCTTTGCACAGGCTGTGCCCTCTGCCTAGAATGTTTTCTTCCCTATATCCTCTTCTCAGGCAATGGGCCTCCTTTCACCATTCAGATTTCAGGCCTTCCCTAACGAATTCACAGTGCTCACATCTCAGTATCTAGCGCTCTCTAAAGCTCTAATTTACTCACTTACTTGTGTTACTGTTTTTCGTTCTCTCCAAACTATAAGCCCCAAGAGAACAGAACTGTCTGTCTGGTAACCTCACAGCATCTACAACCAAAGCCTGGTATACAACAGGCCCCCCCAAAATACTGCTGAATATAAAAATAATGACATGAAATGAAAAAGAATATTAATATGCATTAATAAACATGATACTATGGATCACTGTCAAAAGAGGCCTAATAACCTATTAAAAGAGAAGTCAGGTTATAAAACTACACGTGAGGTAGACTTATTCTGAGTTAATAAACTATATATGTATCTCCACACTGGCACAGAAAAATCTGAAGAGACAACCATATATTTCTGATGGTAGGCTTCTGGGAGGCCTGGCCATTTTCTATAGGTACTTTGGGAATCAACAGGCAGGAAACGAGCATCCTCCTTTCCCAGTCTTTGTGTTGCCACCAGGCAAGAATTCCAGAGAAGATGGCCTTGGCTTCCTTCCGCGCCCTCCTTCACGCCTAGCAGAGCACCTCAACTGATCAAGGAGTCTGATATGAGAACTGAGCATGCCTGCCCCACTCCATCCCCTCCTAGTTCTAGGAATCCGCTCGTACACAGGAACACTTGTTGGCTACCTCCTCCACATCACAAGCTGTTCAGGGGTAGCTGCCATGAATTTGCCGGGTGCCACTGATGACTATTACTATGCCAGGCCATCTAATTCAGGGAAAAAGTAAGAGCAGCCCATGTGAATAGCAACTTGACACTGTGGACTGATGGACTCCTCCTCATTCGTCCATTCAATAAAAGGTCCCAGGGCACTCTGGGTGCCAGGAACTACTCTAAGCTCACAGGATACATCAGTGAATACAGCAGACCAAGATCTCTGCTCACCCACAACTTACAATCCAGCAGGGAAAGCCAACCAAGGCATAGTGAAAGAGTATAAATTTATGCAGTATACTAAATCATGATGGATGCTAACTCCAAAGCACTTATCTGTCACTATTGTCATTTATGAAATAAAAAATACATAATCACCACACAGCAGGTTCTCTGAATTGCTTGAGGAATGTGTTGTTAAAAATTTCTGGAAAATGTTTTAATATCAAAATTTTGATTAGTAACTGAAGATTTTAATAAAAAATATTCTTAAATAATCAGTTAAGAAGTCTAAATCTTGTTCAACTGTACAAAAATAAAAATTTTAACTTGCATATTAACAAATGTCCTCTGACACCAAGAACGGGGATTTCTTACCACACTACTTAAAAATGTGTCAGGAAAAATGGGAAATGATTCTACTCCAACCTGTCATACAGATCCCGCTTAGTTCCAAGTTAAGCACCCTTTCTCAAAAACAGGAAGCTGATGGCATTTGCTTGCCCTTTCAACTCTTCAACTTTTAAAAACATGAATATATTTAAATGCTTCTCCCTCTTCTTGTTATGAAAAAGTGCCCCTTTGTAGCCTTGGTGAATAAGAACCCCATCTGCCAGCCAAACGAGCCTCTCTTTGGATCAGCTTCTCTCAGAGTCAGAGCACAAAGAGGGTGTGATGCCACCATGTGTTTCCTAGGCCTTCTAATCTCCACCACAGTGCCACCCACAGCAGTCTCCTCACAGGGACATCAACAATTCCCTGAATGAGAGCCACACAGAATGAGGTCTCTCCCTGCTCAGAAGTCTGGCCTGGGCCTTGTTCTCAGCGGTTCAGATCACCTGCTTCTCTCCTGACGTGGTGTCACAGCAGGCTACTTGTGCCCAGGCAAGCGATTTTTCTGCCTTCTTGTTTCTTGCACATAGGAACTTTTTCTCCCTTCCCATAAACTACTTTGAAATCACAATAAAATGACCACAGAGCTATGAAGTCTGCACAGAATTCTACCCCAGGTCTACCACAACACCCCACCTGGAGGAGCAGGCCCAGGCACACGGGTGCATACACCCTGCTGCCCAATTCCCCAGAGCTGAAGACACTCTGCATTTCCACCTTTCTCAAGTACAAATTCTAGGTCCTTTAAAGTTTACCTTTATTTCATCTCTACACCCTTCACCACCAGTGAACACCACCCCAGAAGCATGTCGGAACTCACAGAAAAAAAATTAAAGAAAAAAAAAAGAGAACTCACAGAAGCACCAAGCTGCCCGAGGTCCCCTGCCATGCAGAGGAAGCAGCATCGCCCATGCACACTTCCTTCACCACATTCACCCTGGCTCAGCTGCAGCTTCTCATCATTTAGAACGAATTTCTTTTTGTTTCTGTTTTTCATTTGATTTTCCAGCTTTTCGAAAGCATCAATACTGGAAAACTTGGGTATTTTTTAGGAACATTATCCCAGATTTTTTTATTGGTGCCTTATATAAAGTTGTACATAACAGTGGAATTTGTTGATACATATTTGTACCTGCACACAATGTAACTATAATTTGGCCAATATCACTCCCCAGCACTTCCCGCCTCACTATCCCCCACTCCCCTGGTCCCTTCTCCTCTACTGATTTCCCTTTGATTTTCATGACATACCCTTCCAACACATTTCTTTTCCTTTTTCCTCTCCAGCTTCCGCATATAAGAGAGAACATATGGCTCTTGACCTTCTGAGGCTGGCTTATTTCATTTAACATAATGTTTTTAAGTTCTACCCATTTTCCTGCAAATGACAACTTCATTTTTCCTCATGGCTGAATTAAACTCCATTGTGTATATATACCACATATTCTTTACCCATTCATTCATTGACAGACACCTAGACTGGTTCCACAGTTTGGCTATTGTGAATTGTGCTGCTCTAAATATGGGTATGAAATATATTACTACGGTATGATGACTTTAATTCTTTAGGATAAATACTGAGGGGTGGTAAGCTGGGTCACAGGGTGATTCCATTCCTGTCTTTTGAGGAGCCTCCATACTGATTTCCATAGCGGTTATACTAATTTGCAATCCGATCTACAGTGTAAAAGTATTTAGGAACTTCTTTGAAAATCTTCAACAGGACTTTATAATTACAAAGAGAACAGAAACATCTGGCAGGTAGGCAGATTAGGTAAAATGATAGATTATGACATTCAGCTTCAGGATTCAGATGCTTTCAGCTACTTGGGCTTAAATGGAGATGAAAAAAAAAAAAATGGGGAAGAAGGACCTTCCCTTCATGCTGCAGCCTCAAAAAAAAATGTCCAAAACAATCAGACAATGCGGGCTGGGGTTGTGGCTCAGTGGGGCCTGGGTTGTGGCTCAGTAGTAGACAGCTTGCCTAGCGCACGTGAGGCACAGGGTTCAATCCTCAGAACCACATAAAAATAAACAAATAAATAAATAAAATATTGTGTCCACCTACAACAACAACAAAAAAAAAAATTTAAAAAAAAAAATCAGACTATGCTTCCACATACCCCCACCATGGACACCACTGTTTTGAAAGGCTCAAAGCATTAACAGATATCTTAGATAAAGTACCCAAAAAACAACTCTGCATTCCATGACCCTTAGGAACTCACTAGCTAAAGACATGAGAAAGGGACTCTAAGAGACTCAATTATATCCCTGTAGCTGAAGTCTCCCAAAATACACTGGAGTGGTGTGGGGACAGCAAAGCTAAGGCCAAAGTCACGTAATGTTAATTAAAACAGGCATCTAGGCTGAGTGCTCTTAGCCAGGTGGGTTTCTCTGGGTATGTGTTCAAAATGTACATTCTTGGGCCTTGGGGGGAGTGGGGAGGGTCTGAAACAGACAAATGGAGACCAGCAAATGAAAGGTGATTGTGACCAGCTTTAGTCTGAAGTCCTCTAAGCCAAAGAATGCCATTTTCTCCACGATTCTTCCCTTTCCATGGCAGCCCACCCTCCCAGAGGACTCAGACTCTCGTTTATACCAGGGCCCATCATTACTAAAAAGGGTGGTCTACTTTCCTCCACATAACATCAATATGGTGTCTGCAGAGAACACAGAGCTTTCAACTGCAACTGAAACTCCCCTCAAGTGCTTCCCACCCACCTTCAAAAAGTGTGGCTGGGGTTGTGGCTCAGTAGAAGAGCGTTTGCCTAGCAAGTGTGAGGCCCTGGGTTCGATTCTCAGCCCTGCATATAAATCAATAAAATAAAGATCTATTGACAACTAAAAAAATATTAAAAGAAAAAAATTTTTAAAGTGTGGACCCAAAATGGATCTTCATTTATACCTCAATATTTTTTAAAAGCAAGCTCAGCAAACAGCACAGTAAGTTATGAAATGGACAAAAGGACAATCTGTCCAAAGTTCAACTCCAGTACTAGACAAGTAAGGAAACTCGAGACAATACCATAGAAGAATCTCAAGAGCTCAGAAGAGATGCTGCATGTGTCAACCCCACCGAGTGCAGAGGCTGTCACGGGGAAGGAAACATTCTGG